CTTGATCCTAGTGTCTACAGAATCAGAGAGTCGGCTCGACTAGGGAATATCACCTTGCTTTCACAAAATACCATCAAAATACCAAAATAACATGTTTGTTTTTTAAATTTTTTTTTTAAAAATGTTACTCCATACTAGGATTTTCTCCTGTATCGTGGAGGCAGTTTACAAACACAAATTGCACAAGGACAAACATCCAGACCCGGAACAATTATTTGTAGGCCATACAAATACTTGTTCCGTGCGGGATTCGAACCCGCGGCCCCCAGCGCAGCAACTCATTGCTAAGCCAAGACCTGAAGACCCTTTTATTGGTAACGAAACAAAACGGAAAAAAACGACTGGTGTCTGTAGGCCACAGCATCCACTTACCACCAGGTGGACTGTGTGCTTGTTTGTAGCCCTTATTTAAAAAAAAATATTGTTAAGGTTACTTGATTTGGTGATTTTAAAGTTTTCGAAGAAGATCTATCCGTATAATCATAATTTTAAGGAATAGTGTGAGAATACGGACTAGCAATCAGTAATTTCAGGACTCTTTACAACTTGTGATTTATAGTTCCTTATTATTAAAAAAAATATTTGTACGTGCCGCGCAGTATCCTTTTAAAACCCTATCGACTATACTTTTTATTGCCAACTACCATGTTTTTTTTAACAAACTTGTTCAACAAAAATTCACGGACTTGAAAACTGAACGAAGATTCGACTCGTTTTCTTAACGTAGAACGCAAGACTCAAAGACAAAGTTTACAAAAATTAAAATAGATGCATTAACCAAAGACCTAGTTTAATTATATACCACCATCTATCAAATGCTAAGAGATAGTATGTCGATTACAAACGTACTTATATCAGATATATTATGATTATTTGTAAATTAAAAAGTAACAAGCAAATTACATACAGTACGTGAAAACAAAAATTTTAAGTAATGAAGAAATTTTAAGTAATGTTAGATGTAACGGACCGCAAAATTTTAAATTGCCCGTGATTCCTTTATAATGCAATGTAGCGCATAAAATTGACACAAACAAAAGAGCTACGGCGACGTCCATTTTACAACAAAGGTTCTGCGGCTTGATGAATAACGGTGTTATATGATGAATAACGGTAATAATGTTGCATAAATTCACGGATAGCGTGGCAGGGGTCGCCTTGGTATTGTTGCTCAGTTTGCCCAGAGCAGTTATGTTTTTGAGCAGAATTTTGCCCCCCCCCCCCCCCCCCCCCCCCAGAATACGTGGGGTAGCCTGAGTACCCACGCTCAGGATTAGAATAACATGGTCGTGGATGCCCAGCGAGGGATTCTCCTGGGGTAGTCTATCGAGTAATTCCGCTACCATGTTGATGGGGGGGGTGGGGGGGGGGAATTGGGCCTCCGGCCACCTGCACTCACCGAATCGCAGAAGCAGAGCCTCTACTTCACGCCGGTATTCTTTGAGGTCGTGGTACCAAATACGAGGAATATGTCAATTACGTAACAGTGTGTTTCAATGGTATATAATATAATACCTACGGCCATTTTAAAATATTTCCAAGCTTCGTTCAAATCTACAGAACCGTAAGTAGCAGGACACGTATCAGTATAGAAGTAAATACTATTCCATCGATCCATTCAGTATAGCCGATATAATCCACTACTGAGCTCAGCCCCCCCCCCCCCCCCCCCTCCACAAATTTCCTCTTGGGGGGATTTTGCCATAGTAATCGCAGGTTTTTACAAGATGTTAACAGGATGATGTTGCTGTCTCTTTTTTTTTAATTTGCGGCGAGTGCTAAGCTGGCTCCATGCTCCTTAGGCTCAGGGGATATGCGATCCCCAATTTTCCTTTATTAATAAAATACAATGATATCTTTTACAGCGTACACTGACTGGTCTGTATTAGACAATGCGATGTCTTCTGAAACTACGACGTATATAAAGTTATCTGGAGCCCGTGGTTTTGGAGGTTTTTATATAGGTTTATTTTCATTCTTTATTATTCAATAATGATATTATTACTAGTGTTATAAAAATACACATAGCAAAATATTACATGAACACACACATATACATAATTTTTTCAAGAATCGAATTTGCAGCAATGGAAGCAAAATTTTGAGAACAAATTTTTAGTGCATGCAGCGGTTTGCTGTTAGAGACAATCATTGAAATATAGCAATTTTCCGTGCTCCATAAAAAAATTCAACAAAATAAATACTTAAAATATCACCTTTTTAGTTTACTTTTCTATCTGTAATGAAGATTTTTCTCTAAAAATATATTAACTGTACCCAAATACTGTAAGAACCTACAAATAATTGTTCCGAGTCTGGATGTTTGTCCGTAAAAAATTTCATGTAAGTAAATTGTAAAATGCCCGCGTGCCCCCATACAGGTATTCTATTTTAAACGTATTTTCTTTACGTATTAATATATAGAGTTACTATAATTTATAGCAGAGTTTTGTTCTCACGACTGTGCTAGACATGGATACAAATAGCACAGTCCAAATTAAAAACTGAACGAGTTTAAAAGAGAAACGCTTTCATATTTAAAATTCAGCAATTCGTGTAAAGAACTCTTTACTTATTCATTAAATAAGCCGTCTTTTATAAACTCGGAAAAAGCGAGATTTGAGCGCCACTTTCATCACACAATGCGGAAGAGATAATCTTTGCGAAAAGACGAAAAATTTAATTACTTTCTTGAGAAACGTTTTGTTTAGTTTGTTTGTTTTTCCTCAAACATTCGTAAATGTCAAGATTTTTGCACAGATAATGTTATCTCTAGATCCAAGAAGCATACGAAGCTTCTTGCGTAGACCTTACTATTCTGTCTTTAAAATATTTTGTTTTGAAAGACAAAGTAGACTGCAGAACTATGTTAGCTGCTACTCAAGGGCTTCGCGATCACAGACCGTTCCGTCCGAACACGGCCATCGACAGGGGAGCCAATGTGCGTACACGTACTCATGTTATTCCCATGCCAGTATCCGAGAAGTAGTCCCACGCTTTCAATGTAGTCATATGCATGTGTGTAGAACACTTCATGATGATAAAGAACATCCATTCCACCTCAGAAGATGTCTGGAGTTGACTCCAATCGATTACGCACCACGCTTTCAGTTCAGCCGCTGGTTAGTAGAAAATTGGCAGCGGAACATAATTTGGAGCGATGAAAGTACATTCACTCATGTGGGAATGTACAATCAACACAACACACATTAATGGATGCACGAAAATCCTCACGCATGCAGAGTAGATTCCTTCCAACACCGTTTCTCAGTTAACGTCTGGGCAGGTATCATTGGTAGAAACGTACTGGGGCCTGTGTTCTTACAAAGATTAACAGGAGACGCATATTTACTGTTTGTACGAGAAACTCTAGCTACGCTGCTAGAAGACATACCTCTTAATGATTAACAAGAGGTATACTACCAACACGAAGGTGTCCTTGCTCCTTTTACTAGGAGTGTTTGACAGCACCTTGATGATGAGTTTGGAGAGCACTGGATCGGACGCGGCGGCCCTGTCCAGTGGCCTCTCAGATCAGCTGATTTGACGCCTCTTGACTTTTTTTTTGTGGGGACGTATTAAATCATTAGTTTATTTTTTTGAGACAACAAGTGCCGAGGACCTAAAAAATAGGATAGTGAACGCTTTTGGAATAGTGAAAAATGACACTGAAGTGCTTTCTAAATTAAAATACCAGTTAAGAAAACGGTCACTAAAATGTATTGAATAAGGTGGTAGACATTTTGAAAGTGTATTAAAACACAACGTTGCATGAGTGTTTAGGCTATCAATAAGTTAAGTATTTGATTTTTTTTCAAATTATTGTAAATATTTTGATTCACATATGTTATGCTAATGCATAACATTTTGTAACGAATTTTGCCTATTAACATTGTATAATAATCAATAAACAAAATTATTCCGAGTCGACACTCCAAAGTCTGAAAAGTGTGATGGAAAGATGGAATCAAATGCTTACTAGGCTTAATAAACCACTCGATGCTCGGAGTACGAACATCAGTTAATATTCATAGGTAGGTATTTCTTTAACATAAACAATTGTGTATTGTCGGCTTTTTTCGGCACTAATACCTACAGTTTTGTCACGCGGCAGCGGCGTTAACTCGTCTCGAACGCGAGCGAATACCTACTAGGCTAGCAAGACCCTCAAGACCTATACCTACGTGTGCGACTGCATGCGTTCGTGGATTTATACTGTGACCACAAAATTGTTCCAGAATAAGTATAACGAATTCACGAACGAACGAAATCAATAAGATTTCCAGCATTGTTGACAGAGCGCAGTGTTATTGTTTAGCTCCGATTCAAAAATTCTTTTTAATGGTTAAATACCCTTCTTGAGCAAATATTCTTACCTAATAGATTTTAGTACAGTGCTAACTATCATTTACAAAATAAATTATTGAAAGGAAATACCATATCTTGAAGTAATAATTAAAAATTACAAGTGTTAGTGCAAAACTATTGTGTGTTTTACCGACGGCATAACTTGTGTGGTGAAACGCGTAAGCGACACGGAATACACGGCCCTTGCGACTTTTTGTTCGCAAACTCCACGCCGAGTAACTAATACGCTCACAGATAAGTGTTTATTATTTATTATTATCTCCCTGTAGTTAATCAGTACACCTTCAAAACCAACAACGTTTTTATAAGCAAAATGAGTAATTGCAATGCATGCAAAAAGAATGTAAAAACCACGGAAAGTATAATGTGCACCCAAAAAACGTGTAATAAGCTATACCATTATCTGTGTGTGGGCTTAAAGGCTGACAATTTAAAAAAAATGTATCCTGGAAGTGCCATAGTTGCAAGGCCAAACAAACGAAGGGAAACAATAGCGACACACCCGTAAGGGTTATGCAGTGTTCGGATGACGAGGATGGAGCAGAAAGCAGGGATGATTACGTAATGACTCGACGTCGTCGTCCGCGTTCTCCGGACTGCTTAAATCTCTTCGACTCAGAGTTTGCTAAAAAATGCGCAAAGATATATTGGACATAATTAGAAATGAAGTGCCTAGTATTATTAAAGATCTTATCTGCAAAGAATTCCAAGCTATTAGGGATAACATCAGTGAACTAGAAAAATCAATAAAATATATCGGTGACAAGTATGATGATATAATGAAGTCCATATCCGTAGCATCTGAGGACACCAAGTGCTTAAAAACAGTAAACTCCTCTCTCCGCAGCGATTTTAAGGATATGCAAAATAAGATCTCGACAATCGAGCACGATTTTGCTAAGCAAGAACAGTGGGTCCGTCAGCAAAACGTGGAAATTGTAGGAGTACCAGAAAAAAGCAACGAATGTCTCATAGACATTCTTACAAAAATAGCAGAAAAGGCTGGCCACAAATTATAAGAAGCTGATGTAGATTTCGCTCACAGAGTTAAACCACAGCGATCATCCAACAACTAACCGCGCACGATCATCGCGCGCTTCAAATCGCGCCTCAATAAAGACACATTTTTGTCTGCAGTGCGAAAATGTAGGAACTTATCGACTAAAGATATATTGGCCACTGGCGACCCCAAAGTCATCTATGTGAACGAGCATCTAACACCACGTAACAAAAAACTTCTCCTTGAAGTAAAAGCAAAAGCCAAAGAATCTGCTTATCGTTACGTATGGACAAAAAACTGTCGCATTTACGTACGACGCAACGACAGCTCACCTTCACTGTTAATCTCCACAGCTTCAGATTTGAAAAAAATGTGTAGTCTCACTTAGTTTGTTAAACCAACTACATATATCTTCATCGTTAATTATCTTTTGGTTTGTTAGCTTTTTGTATTTTTGTAAAGTCTTAAAATTAAAACTTTATCTAAACATACACATACACATAAACTACACACACACCTTGTTCATTAAACCATGGTGTGCCGGACGGGCGAAACTCTCCGGAGTAAATGTTGTCGGAGATACCCCGCGAGTCGCTCACGTCCTACACCTGTAGGTTCCAGACTCCTCCAACTGCCGTCTTTCACTGCCGTCTCTTTGGTTGCTGCGGATAAACTGTGGACTGAGGTTCAAAATTAAAATGCACGATTTGTAAATTAAAATAGCAAGGGAGTGGCCAGCGGATCGACTAATTAATTTGTCGCGAGATTTTACACTGTTATTTATTTATCACTATTTTTCAACTATGATTGTTCACTATATATTTTAAAACACAGATTTAATTAAACACACAGTAATATTAAAATTTCTATTGGTTTTCTAAAATTTCTATTCGTATTTTTAAAATATCTGTTGGTAATATCAAATTTCTATTGGCAGTAACAAGTTTCTATTGGTATTCTCTACAATTTCTATTGGTAATTTTAAATATCTATTGAAAGTAACAAATTTCTATTGGTAGTATCCAAAATTTCTATTGGTAGCAGCTGGTTTTCTAACACTACTGACTAGCAGCTATTAATCAACTAAAATTAGTTGAATTTAAACACTTTTGTAACTGCGAATATCAGTTACCACTTTTTCCGTCTAGCTAACACTTTTCACGAAATGTAACGGCGAAATTTCCGTTACCACTTTTTTCAGCTAGCCAACACTTTTTCACTATATGTAACTGCGAATATCAGTTACCACTATTTTTGGCTAGCTGACACTATTTTTCTATGTACAACTGAGAATTTTCAGTTGCCACTTTTTTCGACTATGTGTAACTGCGATTTTTCAGTTACGACCTTTTTCGGCTAGCTAAACTTTTCTATTTCACTTTAACTTTTCACTGTGTTCTGCTACTAGTCACTTCAGCTACTACCGGATACTGCTGCTTGTTACTGGTAGTTCTTCCTACTACAATGTTACTGTGATTTGCCCCCATAAGGTAGACTTCGGCTATACTCTATAGAGAGCCGCTTGCCTATTCCCATTTTCCTCTTTATTTTCAATCATCTTTCTTTATGCAAATGGCACAAATTGCAACTTTTGTATATAATACAAATCTTAACTCTAACATGCTATACATCATTAAATAGACATTTTTGTTCTACATTAGTATGCGATAAAGGACAATTAATATATTTACATTTAACAAAGTTATTCATTGAAATGTCCTAAACTTTTACACTAATTGGTCATATTAATTCTTTAATTATCCTATAACTTTTAAATCGTGCTTAATTATACAAAATATTTCTTTATTATAACGATCTATACATCATATGCTAACTAAATACCATATTTACAACTCTTTTCAGACATAAAATTATTCTCATTAATTTTTTGCTTAAAACTATTACGCAGTTAATTTAAATTTCCAGAAAGTTCTATAGCGCGGCGCGCTGTGATTGGTCGATATTTTCTTAAACAAAATAAAGTTGTTTATATTAACTATTGTCAAATCGACCTTCTATACAAACATATTGAGAGTTGTAAATACATGGTAAAACTATATTTAATACATTATTTAGTCAATTTTTCCGTATTTTCATTTTTTAAACAAATAAATATTCCTTAATCACTTTCTCGTTTAAAGTCATTTTTGCCGTTGTGAACAGTCATTTTGGCCGTCTCGAACATTTCTCCCGCCGTGCAGCGTCGCGAAGACCCGTCGCAGCGGCGCTGCATAATTTCGGTGAGAGACGTTGCCTCTACTTCGGCAGCGGCACGAGTTTTCTGGTTGGCCTCTTGATTAGTCCATTCGCTGTGCGTACCTCCACAGTGCGGATCTGTCCGTCCGCCCCGGGGTATATGTTTTCAATCCTTCCTCGTGGCCAGGTGTTACGAGGTAACTGGCTGTCAGCTATGAGGACTGGATCGCCCACCTGGAGATCGGTGCCTTGACCGTGGGCCTCCCGCCGGTTTTGAAGTTCCGGCAGATATTCTTTGACCCAACGCTGCCAGAACATGTCAGCGAGTATCTGGGAGCGTCGCCAGTGTTTTTTGCTGTTCGCATCTTTTTCACTAAAAACTCCAGGTGTTGGCAGTCTCGCAGATCCTCCCAATAGGAAGTGATTTGGAGTGATGGACTCGTTGTCTTTGCTGTCTACTGAGATGTGAGTCAATGGTCTGCTGTTTACTGTATATTCCACCTCGCAGAGCAGCGTGGTCAAGACATCTTCGTGCGGATGTCTCTCATGAAGGACGGTGTATAGTGCCGTCTTCATGCATCGAACAAGCCGTTCCCACACCCCTCTCATGAAAGGCGCGGAGGGGGTTATAAATCGCCAGACTATGCCTCGTCGGCTGGCTTCTTCTCGGAAGGCCTCTCGAAGCTCCTTGTCGGCACCGTGCATATTGGTGCCGTTGTCCGAGTTAATCTCGGTGGGACATCCTCGGCGCGCTGCGAATCTTCTTAATGCCAGTATGGCAGAGTCTGCGCTGAGATCTTTCACAATTTCCAAATGTACAGCTCGTGATGTAAGGCAGGTGAAGAGCGCCACGTATCTCTTCTGATGCTGACGTCCCACTGTTACGGAGAGTGGCCCAAAATAATCCAGGCCGGTGAACGTGAACGGTCTCTGGTGATGTGCGAGACGCGTGCTGGGATGATCACCGGTGGCTGGCATGGATGGTTGTGCCTTTCTTATGCGGCACTGAACGCATTGGCTTACTATTCTTTTAGTAGTGGGTCTTAGTCTGATTACCCAGTAATGCTGTCGAACCTCGTTGATGATTGGTTCGGTCCCGCAATGATGCAGGCTACGATGCGTCCAATCAATATACAATTGGGTGATGTGATGATCACCATCCAATATAGCTGGCCCTTTCATATCTTCAGAGACTCCTTTTACAGCGGCTATTCGACTTCGTAGCGCAATGATCCCGTCTTTCAATTGTATCTGTAGTGGGCGTAGGCGGCTATCATGGGCGACCCTCTTATCGTTACGGAGATCGGCTATCTCTTGTGTGAAGGAGTCTTCCTGGATGACATGTACCAGGAGCTTTTCGGCCTTTCTTATATATTCGGCCTCCAGTGTGATGTATTTGTTTACATCTTTGCTTTTCACCTGACTGGGAGGCTGCGCGAGACGTCGCGGATTGCACTTCGATCTCCTCCAGTCGGGGTCTTCCTCTCTATTTTTTTTGTCCTTTTATAAAAGGTCCTGTCGGTTGTTTTGCGGCAGAGTGTTATGAATTGAAGCACTCTGGCCGTAGCTCGCACTAAGCGTTCCCATTTCGAAAATTTCGTCGGAACGGGAATGGCCTCTTTATATAGCGGAGCTCTATATCTTTCTGTGATGGTGAGAGATCTTTCTTCACCAGTAGGTTCGGATGACGTGGGTCGTTCTGTTGGCCATGCTGACGGTTCTTTGTATAGAAATGATGGGCCACTGTACCACTCGTGGTTAGAGTCGAAATTGGGTGGTACGTCCCTCGTAGCGGTGTCAGCTATATTTAATTTACGGTGCCAGCGCCAGTCATCCACTTTAGTATGGTCATCTATGTTTCCTCGCTTGTGTGCAGCTCATTGGCCGCGTGGACGCGCTGATACGGGGCTTTAGTGTGTGCCCCGTGTAGCACCCATCCTAATTCTGTGAGCAAGGCGATTGGTTGGTGCAGTGGACCTCTGCGTACTTGTGTGGCTATTAAGAGTCTCCAGTTGTCTTGTCCTATCAGGATCCTAGGGTTGCCTGAATCATATGTCAATTGATCCTTTAAGCCTTTCAAATGCTTACAATTTTCTATGTCTGTTGCACGCACAGTCTGCGGCCCCAAGTTTAGGCTGGCGACCGTGCGTGCTCTGAATGGCACCCTTTTTCTATGGAGACTCTTTAGTGACACTTTGACTCTTTGGGAGTCCGGCGAATCGAGGGTAGTGTTTCCGATAGTTGTGATCTTGAATGGGTCCAACCGCCCTTTAGCTCCAATTTGATCGGCAATCTCTTGATCCATTAACGAGACTGTCGACCCATCATCCAGCAGAGCGTGTGTGTTTATTGCTCCCGCCGGTCCAATTACTCGAACTGGAATTATCTTCAAGTAAGCTTGATGCTTTGATACAGCGAATGAGTTTGCCACTGTTTCTTGAGGTTCTTTTAGTGGGCCCTCTGTCTTTTCCTTTCTATTATTATGAAGGAGTCGATTGTGTGTCGCGTTGCATCCTTTTATTCCACACTTCGTGGTTTTGCATCTGTGTGTCTGACTTCTATAACGCAGACACCGGAAACATAAATTCCTTTGCTTGGCGAGTTGCCATCTTTTATCAATATCTGCCTCTTTAAACTTGTTGCAGTCGGATCCGTAATGACCCTCTTTTTCGCACACACTGCATTTCGGAGACGGCTTAGTGGTAGCCGTGTGCGTCCTATGCACTGGACGATTATTTTGCGCTCCGCTTATGATCTCAGGAGGCGCAAATGCACTACAGTAGCGAGCTTGTTCGGTGATAAATTCACTGAAGGAACCGAGGT